AAGCACTAGTTTTGCCCTATTTATTGCAAAATAGACAAATCTAAATATTTTAAATCATTAATTCAAGGAAGAGTAAAACCTTATTTTTTCTTCCTCTCTCATTTTGTCTTCCAGTGGGAAATTCCAAGGTATTTCTCTTTGCAATAACACTCTTCATGTGCCTAAAATAAAGCAGAAATCCATTCAGTTTCCCAGCCAGCTGGAAAGAACCACAGCTTTCCAAAAAAGGCTGAGCTGAGAAGTAGCCAAGAGAAAGGACTAAGCCAGGATGTACCTGGGGATTTTGCTCTGAAGTGCATCCCAGCATGACACATTTGGCAGCTCAAAGAGGCTCTTATCTCTGTCCTGGCTCCTGCTGCCTTCAAAGCATGTGATAATGGCCCAGGCGTCTGGCAAAGTAAATAACCAACTTTTCCACCTACACACAAACCTTGGGACAGAGGTGCTTCAAGAAGCCAACACTAGTGAATGGGAAAACACATTCCTCTTCCTGTAGATACCTTTGTCTCCATGGCTCTCTTCTTTTTGCGCCATGGTCCTGACGCATATAAACCAGAGCCCTTGGCTCAGTCCTTTCTCCAGGGGCTGGAAGAAGCAAGGTTCTCGATGATCTGGGCAGACCTGCTCATCCTTCTCCCTGCAGCCTGGTACCAGCTAGCAGCTTTCCTCTTCGCTGCTCTCTTCCATTACCTCTGTGCTTTGGGGCACCTCTCTCTGATTTCCCGGTACGTGGTCTCCATACCAGGGGCAATTTGTGTCCATGGGTACTTTCTGGGTCTCTCCTGGCTTTCCGCACTCCCCTCTTTGTGCAGTAGGGCCAGTTCAGGGTGGTTAAAGCTACAATAGCCAGGCTAGGCTCTCCTGCATTGCAAGAGGTGGGTTTACCAGAATGAGCACACAGGCAAGAAGAGCAGGGCAGGGAATGGGGACTGTCTCCAGTGTGACGCAGATAGGGGCCACGCAGGACCTGCTTTGTCCTTTCCCAGTGTGGCCCTGTGGAGGCTGCACGTCTCATACTACACTATACTACTAACATCAGAGCAGGAATTCCAAGCTACGTTTTCCCCAAAAGCTGTCCAAAGGGCATCTGGTCTCTTGTAGGTACATCTTCCTCCTTGCTGGAGGATGTCTCCTTGCAGGCACAGCCATGGGCAGTTACGCCACGCTGCTTCTCATCCCTGCTGTCGGCTCCATGCTCATGCTCCTCTTGGTCAGTCCAGCTTATGTCCATACCTGGGTCTTCTGCCTCCAGATGTGCTGGCAGACACTCTGCCACCTGGCCCTGGTGCTGGAGCCACAGGACACCAGGTAACCCTCCAGCATTGCTTCCCTCCCTCTCCCACCCTCCCAATTGCTTTGGGAGGAACTGCATGAAACGCTGCTTCATAGCAGTCAGTCCCTGTGGGCCTCCCTCAACCTGCAGCACTCTGGGCATGACAGGAGAAGGTGGGATATGCATGCTCATGCCCACCCTTTGAGAGTCTCTCAGCAGCGCTCAGGTGCCCTCTCCTTCCAGGCCAGCTGTCACCCTCTCTGCAATCATGCTGCTCACTCAGAAGGTGACATCTCTGGCCCTGGACATCCACGAAGGGACCGTGCTGCCCCAGCCTGGCCAGGGGCTGTTGCAGAGAGCCTTGCCCCTGTGTAGCTACCTGCTCTTCTTCCCAGCCCTCCTTGGAGGCCCACTGTGCTCCTTCAGCAAGTTTCAGGCCCAGGTCATGTCTCTGGGGGCCGTCCCCTGCCCGCTGCGGGCTGTGGGCTGGAGGTACCTCGGGGTGCTGGTACTGCAGATGCTGCGTGCATGGCTGGAAGCCTGGCTGCCCTGCATGCAGGGCTGGGCCAGCATGGGCCACATGTGGGCACAGGCTTTGCTCTTCAGACTGGCATATTACTCGCAGTGGGTGCTGGATGAGGCCCTCCTGGAGGCAGCAGGCTTTGGGGCAGCGGTGGAGCAGGGAGACCTTTCTGGCCGTGACCTTTGGACACTAGAGACCACACATCGCCTGGCTGTCTTCTCCAGAACATGGAACAAGAGTACATCCCTCTGGCTGAGGAGGCTGGTCTACCAGCGCTGCCCAGCTCAGCCACTCCTTGCCACTTTTGCCTTCTCTGCATGGTGGCACGGCCTTCGCCCTGGCCAAATCTTTGGTTTCCTATGCTGGGCCATCATGGTAGAAGCTGACTATCGAATCCATCCCTTCCTCAGCTCCCGGGCTACCTCCTGTGTTGCAAAGCTCCTCTACCGTGGCACAACCTGGGTCTTCACACAGCTCATCATTGCCTACATCCAGATGGCTGTGGAGACAGAGAACTTCTCCATGCTCTGTCTACTCTGGACTTCCTACAACAGTATCCTTCCCTTCACTTATTGCCTTGTGCTGCTGCTGCTGCTGTTTGCTCAGAAACCAAAGCAGAACTGAGCCTGTCCTGGGCTAACTCGACTGACTGGCTAGAAGATGTCCCTGCACATAGAATTGTAAGTGTGGGAAAGACCGCTAATATCACTCAGTCCAATTATCAACCCATCCCCACCATGCCTGCTGACCATGTCTTTCAGAGCTTTCACTTTTCTTCAAAACCTCTAGGGATGGTGACTCCAGCACCTCCCTGCGCAGCATGTGCCAATACCTCACCACCCTCTCCGAGAAGAAATTTTTCATGTGAGCACACAGAGATAAGAGCTTTTGTCAAGAAATCTCCAGAGGCTCAGCTTGTCTTTTACTCATGGGATATCCCCCAATTTCAAGGGAAGCACTGAAGCAAGGCATGGATGTCACCAAACTGGGCAGAAGGGCTCTGAGCAGCACTGACTGCCCCGTGTTTGTCTTGGGGCTTTAGGTCTGAGCTTCATTTCATGTGGAAAGCATATAGCCTTGCCATCAAATTCATCTGTACCGCAAATGTGCATTTGTCAGCAACAGTGTCTACCTCCTGGGAGCTTGTCCTCCACTGGGAGCACAGGTATGTGGAGGGAGCCACACCTTACCAGCTTTCTTGTACCCAAGAACTAGTGGGAACCCAGACACAGGAAAAGAAGCTGGCAGTCTATGTGGGGTCAGCACAGGACAAACAACATTCCTTTCCCTATCCCCAAGCAGCACAATTGGAAGGCATGGGCTTGCTGTGCTTCCCCAGCAGGTGTCCCTTCACACTTTCCCTGGTATATTTTAGGCTGGAGAAAAGCATGAGATATCAGAGGGAAAGATATTAGGAAAATGTAGATTTAGGAGATTTTGTTCATATGAAAGCATGAAACCAATCATTCAATGTCACCACAATATAGCTGAAAATGTTACAAGATTGTTGTTGGCCTCATATACGGGAGATGCTGCTGCAGGGAACCAGGATCAATACCAGAAGCAGTCTCAAACACCCCAACTTAAGTGAAAGCATTACAATCAGGTTCAAATCCTACATCACGCAGACCTCACAGCAATACTCAGGGTGGATGTTTGTTACTAAAGTCAGCATGCAAAATGGATCCGACCTTGCTTTATGTGGGCTAGCTGGATGTTTGGGTCCTGAGCTGAGCCTTGCAAGCCACTTGCCACATATATTATCTATCTCTCTTTGCCAGCACAACTGTTATAAGATCACATGCTGCAGACTGGGGCCAGAGTTTCCAGGGTAAAGCATGCAGGATGGTCCACAGGACAGTGGTTCCCAAGCAAGAAGGTTCACGCTGCCTGTATTGGAGGGAAGTGTATGGAAGTCAGGCGCAAGAAAGCCAATGCATAAAAAAATCCCCGACAGTCACAGTTGGAGTCATCTCACATTCTTTCAGCAGGCAGGGACGTGCAAGGCTTCCTCCCTAAGGGGGTTGGGGGAAATTCATTGCAAATGGGTGCCCAGCCAAGGAACCATCCCCTCCCATCAGCAGCAACCACAGCCAAATAGATTAAAAAATCCAGGTGAGAAACCTGGAGAAGATTCACAGAAAGTGTACAATGTGTCAAAAATCCTGGGGAATTAAAATTCCCACAAGAGAGCAGGCTAGAGCTGGAAGTGAAGTGAGACTGAAGGAAAGTTTTCTCCTCATTTTCAGCTTGGATGAATATCTCCTCGTTTTCAGCTGAGCTGGGGGTAGCTCAGCTAGTCATGTCCTCCCTCAACAAAGCTGATACTGGGCTCTCTTCATATGTCCCAAACCTACTCCTCAGCCAATGACTGCAGAACTGTAGCAGGGCAGCTCATCTCTGCTTCATTCTGGAGTGGAAGAGAGCCCCCAAATCTTCCTGAAAAATTAGCAGCAGCAAGGCATCTCCACAAAGCCAGGTGGCTGCCGTATGTCTTGATAGAGGGAAAGGAGCTGGAAGGGGTTGAGCAGCTTTGCTCTCTTCCATGGTGCCACATCTGTTGGAAGAACATTCACAGTGCATCCTGCCCTACACATTTGTTACACAAACACAGCAGCAATAAGGGCCTCTCATAGCAAAGGCTACTGTGGCCAGGCCAGCTAATCGCACAGTTAAGAGGTTAAATAAACGCTATACACAAGGGACAGGTAAGTTACCTGGTGATGGGAAGGTGTTGGATGGATGGGGAAAGCAAAGTGGCCTGGCCATGACTTTCTTCCCCGAGGCCTTGGAGGTGAATTGGGGATTTTCCATTTCATTAAATTTACAAGGGGTAATTCCAGCATTCAGCATCATCTCTGTGAACAGCCCCATCCTAGCTCTCTCATCCTTGCACAAATGAGCAGCTACAAGGCTGCAGTTCAAGACAGGAAGGCAATGCTGTATTAGCACCTAGAGAAGGTAATAGGCCGGTGACAATGTGTTTCTCACAGCAGAAAATACAGCTTATACAGCCATGACTTTTGTTGTAAAATGGATGTCAAAACACACATGAATTTGAAAGCCCCTCGTGGTTCTTCCTCACACAGGAAAGTTATATGTACTGCTCTGACTCCCAGGAAGAATAAGGCAGCCTGCCCACTCTGGTGATCAGAGTAGGGACCAAAGGATCATCCCACATGTGCAGAAACCAACTCAGGTACATTTTGTTCATGAGAAACATGCACACAAAGGCAGGAGTTTATTAGTCCACAGACTTACCATACAAAAAAAGTCCTCCTTTAGAGGAGTAGGCTCCCAGCTTTGCCTGCTCACAAATTAGTGCTCGGGGTACTAACCACGTCTTACATTGATCAGAGCACAGGATAGGAAATGAACACATGTTCACAGCCGAGATTCAAGCCTCTCACATTTTAATGGGGCTGTGTACCTTTCACTGCAAGGCAATCGGGAGCCCTCAGCCACCTCTGAGACATGTCCAAGGTCAGAGCAGCTGCAGCAGTTTTAATGTGTGTGAGAGGGAGACAGGCTCAGCAGAGGCCAAGTACTGGCAGCACAGCCAGTCCTCCAGCTCCACGCTCCGCTCCGTGTCCACAGCCCTCTCCGCAAACTTCATCATCAGCAGGGCACGCTTCATGTCCACCCAGTTCTGAAGCACCTGGTGGAGGGCTTCCTCGTGGCTGAGGGGCTGTTCAGTCAGGTCCTTCCGTGGCCCCCACAGCAAGCACTGCAGCATCCGCTTGGCTTCGGTGATCCGCACGCGCTTGATGGGATCTGCCTCCAGAAGCAGGTGGGCCAGCTGCTGGAGCCCCCGGGAGTAAATGGACAGGCTGGGCAGAGAAGGGAGGTCCTCAGGGCTGTACTCTTGCTCCTTGAGGTGCACCTTCTCCTCAAAGGGGTTGGGCTGGTGCAGGAGCTCATAGATGAGAATTCCAGTCTGAAACTCATCAAACTTCTTGTACTGAGAAGCTGACACAATCTCCGGGGCCAGCCGGGCCTGGCTCTTCTTCAGTTTGGAGTCTCCAGATCCTGGCTTCTGTTTAGCTTTCAAAAAATTGCTGATGATGAGGCGGGGCAAATTTCTGTCATCTCTGGCCTTCGCACAGCTCATTGGGGGCTTGCAGGGGACAAGAAGAAGGTTCTCCAGACACAGGTCCCGATGGATGACGCCGTGCTCTTTTAGATGCTCCAGGCCATTGCAGAGCTGGAGGAGCAAGAAGCAAACCCGACGTTCGTACATCTCAGGTTTGGCTTGGTGCAGTGCCACCGAGTCCCTCACGAAGTCGGCGGTGGTCTGGCTTGGCACCTCGCGGGTGATGACCACCACACAGTCATGCTCGCTGGTGGTGCGGGAGGGACGGAGGCCATCCCCAGACATGCTCTTCCCCACACTGGAGGCCAGCAACATGCTGGAGGGGACAGAGGCCACAAAATGCCCACAGTCCTGCTGAATGTTGAAGTGGACCGGCACTGGGGGGCTGCAGTACGAAGCAGCCACCTTGGACTCTTGAGTTTTACATATCTGTGAGGAGAGACCAAAAGAGATGTCTTATCTGTCAGCACTTTCTTCCCACCGCACCCTTCTCTGGTTCTGCATCCTGGAGTTCCTTTCACATCCTCCTCAAACACTTCACTTCCTTGCTTCAGTAATTACCCTGACCAATGGCTGAAGAAAACCAGTAACAAACTATACTCATCAGCACAGGGGAAAAAAAAAAACTCCAGAGGAAAGTGGGAGAAAGTAGGAGCAAACAACAGATTTAGAAATAACTGATAAAGCTCCAAACTCAAGAGGAAAAACAAGCAAACAAACAAAAAAAACCCACAAAACATTTTCTAGTCTAGATTTCCTTAAACTAATGTGACTCTGTCTTCATTTCATTTTGTATTTGAGCATTAAAGACTAAGCAAACTCCAAACCAGTTTTATTATGGGAGTATCCATTAACTTATGGGGCCTTCTGGCATTTCTATTATACTTTTTTTTCCCCCTTTTATTTAGGGATATATTTATATCTTACCCACAGGAATCAACAACAGGCTGAAACACAGCATAAAAGGTTTCAAACCCTGGAGCGTGCCACTGCCAGTCACGGCATGCGTGCAAAATCAGACAAGAAATCAATTTTGCCTCTGAGTTAAAATAAATTCAATAATAGAGAGCAGCTAGGGAAGCAGGCTGCTTTTGTATTCTACTAGCAGCAGTTCGAATCCAGGCGTTTGCAGGTAATTCACTCAGATGAGATGATAGTGTGGAGATAGAGCATTTCAAGCTCCTATTGTCCTTTCTCTTCTAAACAAAAATACTCTGCTACATGCTTATTTTGTGGAAAGATAATCTCTGGAGAGCTGGACAGACTGCAGATTGGGTCACAGCAAGCCCAAATGTTTCCAATGGCAGAGGAAGCTTTCCATATCCTTGCTGCTCAAATTTGCTTGTTCCTCCTGCACATGGGTAAGACTCATAAGGCTTAGGACAAGGGAAAGAGGAATCGTCAGGAGAATAAATGCAACCAGATAGGGTCAGGGAGATCCTCCCCAGTCAGCTGATCTTCATGACTTTCACTTGCACCAGAGGCGTCCTCCATGCAGCAAGACCAAGTAAGAGCCTGAGGCTGGATTAGTCATTCATCTTTAAGCAGAGAAAGAAGCCAAGGAGTAGAGTGTATCTTGACTTAATTCCTCTGAAGACATTTCATGTAACCTTGGGTCCTTCCAGCTAATTTAGATGTAGCAATGCCTGCCTTTGCACAGACCAAACTCTGGCTCTGGCTGCACAAGTCAGGTCCTCTACCCGTCATGAGTTATCCAAATCTAATTTTAACTACAGGTCTGTGATTTCTTACACATCCAAAAATCTGTACCACAAGCCAGGAGGAGCAGTTAGAAATCAGCCAACGGTAAAGCTTTACAAGTATTCTCTATTTCATCTACCAAAAAGAAGGTGGCCCACTGGAACACTGCAGATGTGCGAGTGCACACGCATAAGCACATATGTAACTTCACTTAATGCTGGCTCAGAGCACTGCCCTGTTGGACCGGTTTTGGCTTTATTACAGTGCTCTGCAGCGTAGCAAGAGCACAGGGAGACAAGCACAGACCCATTAAGAGACTAAAATGTGGTGTTTCTGCCTTGGCAGTAATTCATCCACTACAGCAGTAGAGCTTAGCTTCTGAACCCCCCCAGGCACAGCAGGCAAGATGGAAGGCCTGCGTGTACCACAGGGGATCACGCATTGAAAAGGAACATGCCACTTCACCATGCAGTTCTCAGGTTTCTGCAGGAAATTTTCCATGGATTAGGAATAACGTGTAAGAGAAGCTGCTGCTCTGAGCGTTGGACTAGCAGCAAGCCCCCATCCAACTCTACTCTGGTTATTTGGAGCCCTCCTGTTGGGTTGACCCTACTTTCTTTGAAAAAAGTCAACTGGCTTTAAAGCTATCACTTCGCTAAAACACCCCCTTGGGGGCTGTACTAGTGAAAACAGTTCAGAATAAATTTTTCTTCTTGCTTAATGCATCTCTAGCATTGCTTTTTTGGGGAATTATTTTAGGTCTTTAAAAGCAATACGAAGAGGAAGCAGCAATGAACTTCCCCTAGGCTGAAGTCCAAATAGAAATTAAAGGTTCAGTATTCCAGCAGTAACTTGGGTCAAGAACAGTGAATCCATAAAATGTACATGAAGTTTATTGATCTAGGTTTCAGAGAGCTTGACCGTGGCACCTCAAGTTTCCATTTCAAATGTAGATTCTACACAGTGACAGGAATGTATGTATTTCAGGCAAGCCTGACCTTACACAGCATGTCTAGGTCAGCCTTGCCTTGTTTAATTGAGACCTGAAAAATCTTAAAGCCTGTAGTTTCAAGATCATGCAAGCACTCACACAGTTTCTGGATCAAACCATTCACTTAAAAGGCAGGCAGAGGGAAAATAGATGTATTCGATAGCTTTTAAGCAGCTTCTGTTGTCAAAGGTGAACATTGCTAACTTTACAACACAGCATTTGCACAAAGTTTTTTTTAGAGAGAAACAGGTTGTGTTGTAAACCCCAACAGTCTGAAGAAGTAGGCACCCTGCTGACATTTGTTACAACAAAAACCTACATCTCCAAATCAACTCTTTCAAGGTGTGAAGGAAGACTAGCAATCTTGGGAGGGGTTTTCATTTGCCAAACTTCAGCTGTGAGAATGATGAACCTGAAGAAAACAGGCCAGCAAATTCTGGTGATGCTTCTTAAATCTGTATTGCTAATTCTGCTCTTTCATTTGGTGCCCAATGGAAAAGAACCCAGAAATTCAGTCCCAGCTCTGCTATTGACCAGGTTGGATGGGGCCCTGGTCTAGTATTAAATGTGGAGGATGGCAGTGCTGCATACAGTCCTTGAGGTCCCTTCCAACCCAAGCCATTCTACGATTCTGTGGGATGCAGAGCCTGCAGCTCTTTGCCCAGGCTTACCTTTGTCACGGCCTTACCTTCACAGCATAGGTGGTGGAAGGGTCCTTGGAGCAGGTGGCACAGTAGTAGATTGCATCCCCTGAGTCACAGCAGGGCTTGTTGCACGTCAGCTTGAAAAGCGACCAGTTGTTCTCATTGAAGTGCAGCTCATTCTTTTGCTCCCGCATGAAGCAATCCTCACACTTTGCGACCAGGCGGCGCAAGGACTCAGCGTAGAGGGCCCCCAGCTTGGCGTATACCCCCTCCTTGCTGTCAATATTGCTCAGGAGGTTGTGGAGCTGGAGGCTGGAGCCTGATGATACCTGGCTGGACATGCTGAGCTGCGAGGAAGAACGGGACTGGAGGTTTCTACTGGGGACGCAGGTCCCTGTGTTCTTGCTGGTGGCTGAGCCCCAGTAGCCATTTCCTTTGGAGCCTTTCTCCAGGGACTCTGAGGAGGAGAAGATGCTGGGGTGGCCTCTGAGACTGGCCGGGTGGAGGAAAGGAGAGTCCTCATGGAGGCAGACGTTGCTCTCAGAATGGCTGACGTTCAGCCTGGGGCAAGCAGTACCAGCTGCTCTGCCTGAAGACCCCTGTCCCCCAAAAAAGCCATCTGGGGAGGACACTGTCCTGCTCACTGTCTTTTTCTGAGGCAGAGGAGGCGGGCGGCTTGAGACAGAAGAGAGACTGTCATCACCGGAGGCAGGAGGGAAGGGGACAGGGGGAAAGGCCAGGATTTCAGCTGGAGGGGGTGAGTGGTTTGGCTCAGACGAGTGTCCTAGGAGACAGCAAAGTACAGGGTTTCATCCACGGTGGAGAGCACGGACCCCTCTCCATGTACCTGCCATCCCTACAAGCTACCTCCACCAGTACCCAACAGGCAATTCTCATCACCTGCAAAGCTACACCATCGGGGTTGGTTCTTTAATCTGGTTTAATACAGCAGCTCTGAAAAGCAGGATGCAACCAGCTAGCTAAAGAAATGGTCTGCAGATCAGAAATTGCTTTCCTATGAACTGCATGCACGATAGCAAAAAGCTGGTAGAGGATAAATATTTAAGCTGTGACATCATACAGAAGGAGGTAAGAATGAAGATCTCAGGGATTCTTGTTGGACAGCAATCTCTCAAGCAAAGCCTGTTTCACCTGGGAGCTGCCACCCAGTGCCTCAGCAGCATGGCATGATAAGAGTGACTCATGCAACACACAGCTCTGGTTTAAACATGAGCAGAGCAGCCCAACAAGGATATTGAACACGTCTCCCTGCCTTACACTGGGTAAGGGTCATTGTATGGGGTTTGGCAAGCTCCACTCTTCTGAAGAAATCTGGCCTCCCCACTGTCTGTCCCCAGCTTACATCAGACCTCCCTGCTCAGAGGGCAACCAGCCCCACTGCATACCACAAAACCCTTTCAGCTCCCTACAGCATTTACACAAGTACAGGAACGCTCATTCAGGCAGCTGTAGCTGTTGCCTTTCTACCTGGCTGGAGACAAGTAATATGGATGCAGAAGAGGAAAAAAGTGGAAAAAGGATGATTGACACTGAAATAAAGACCAAGACTTTCAGGTCAGGGAGACAGAAAAAAATACAGAGTCCCTGCCTGGTCTGCAGGAAAGATCCCCTCTATCAAAAAACTGGCAGAACTGCAGATGAGGCATTCAGCAGAGCATGTCTTGCCACTTCCACTCCAAGGGGCTATAACAGAAGATGCAGCTAAGAGGAATTCTTCAGCATGCAGTCCAAGAGTAACACAATCACCAGGATATGCAGTCAGATTCCCACTTCAAGAGGTAGGATTCATTTGATAGAAACTTACGGAACAAGCAGCATTACTGGAACCTCTGGCAACCAGTTCACATGCACACCCACAAACGCCAAATTGCTCTCGCCTCTTTTTTATGTGCTGCTGGGCTCTGCCCTAAGCATAGGTTAACAACTGAAAGCCTTCCATAACTTTCCGTACTGCGCTCTGCACCTTCAGGGTAGAGTCCTTCCTTCTGCAGCAAAGGGCTTGAACACCGCCCCATATTTTAACATCTGACAGCATAGTCAATTAATGCGGGCTCACCTCACACAATGGCTGACTGCATAACAACTGCTTGCTTACATCAGCAAGAGGAAAAAATTACATACAGGTTACTCAGTTTAAAGCACAGCCTTCCTGAGTTGAGTTTAAAGTCGCCTCTGCTAGTGGAGGCAGAGAAATCCTCTTGTCTTGTGTAAGTTTTGACTGCAAATTGCTCCTGTGCCCTGCAAGTAAAGATCTGACGCATGTGAGTTCTCCTTCCCCATGTACAATTTCCTGGCAGTCTCACTCTCAGAGTCCAAGATAGAAGTGGAAAAATCGACTTTCCAGAGCTCTGACTCTTAATTTTATAGCTGCACGCTGTTGCTCTTGGAAAGAGAGAACTTCCACTACATGAAGGTTGCTTTTGCAAAAAGGAAATACTTTCTGAGCTGCCAAACATGTTAGCACATGTCTAAGTTACACACTTATGAAGAAAGTGACTTCATATTAGTATTTTTTAATTTCAGTTAAACAAGTGCAGGCAGATTTTCCCTCTTCAAGAAACAACTGGGAACGCAATGAGAGGGAGAGATCAACTACTAGCACAAGAGTCTGGTACTTTTCAAATCCTTTAAGGACTGTCCATGAATGCAACTTTGGGCAACGTATGGAGCACAGCCAAGACAAACAGAACTGCTTTCAGACAGGGGCTTCATCCAGACAAGAGGAGAATCACAGGACAAACAGATTTGGCTCTGACCAAATGAAAGAGGAAAAAGCCATGATGTTGATCTGGCTCTGCCACATTCATCTTAAGTGTATCAAGAAGCAGGAGGGTGAAATAATGACTTCTAGTTTTGTCAGGGGAGTTTGAGATTGGATATTAGGAAAAATTTATTCTCAGAAAGAGTAGTGAGGCACTCGCACAGGCTGCCCAGGGTGATGGTGAAGTCACCACCCCTGGAGGTGTTCAAGAAATGTGGAGATGAGGCACTGAGGGACATGGTTAGTGGGCATAGTGGGGATGGGGTGATGGTTGGACTTAGTGGTCTCTTCCAATCTTAATGATTCTATGATTCGATACAGTGGTTTGCTGGGAGAATTAGGTTATGGGATCCCTGTGATCGCTGCTTTGCAAATGCTGCTCCAGCAGTGGTACTCAGTATAGGGCAATCCCTCCTCAGTGCTAATGCTACTTCTCCTCTACCCTGCAGCCACTTACTGCCATCGCTGCCGGCCTGAGTGTCAGAGTTGAGGCTGTCGGAGGAGCCAGCTGTGAAGCTGACGTGGACGCTTCTGAAAGGTGGGCTCAGGCTCTCAGCAGAGCTGTTGCTGGCCCTCTCCAACTCAGCGTTATTTGGGTTCATCTTCAGAGCATGCCTAGGGAGAGTAAACAGAGAGGTCAGGAGACAGCAAAAGACATGATGCATATACTTTTGCATGGAGAATCAAGCTGAGAGCAGCCTCAGCTTGATCTCTGCACATCCATACTGACACGCTATTACCTTGTGCACTTTTCCTCTTCTTGCTCTAGAACTTGGGGATCGTACCCCACTGACACTGAGCAAGCTATACCCCTGCACAGCACCAGTCCCCATGAGAAACCCGCTGCATTTGAGCAGAGAGAGACCCATTGGGGTGACAGCACCCAACCCTGGTCTGCATCTTCTTTTTCCTAGTGTGGTTCTGAATCATATCCCATTTTGGCCATTGCCACTGGGAAGTGGGGACCCACCATTATTTGCCCTTGGTAAAACTCAGTGGAAAGGCAAAGCATCACTTCTCCCATTTTACAGAAGGACTGGGCATTAGAATCCAGCTCCTACTTGGCAGAGGCAAGAGGATAAGGAAGTTCCATCACTGGCAATCATCATCTCCTTGGTGCATCGTTGTAACGATTGACATCTTCCAAAAAAAGAATGACCTCTGCAGAAAACAAGAGCATGCCAAACCCAGGACCTACCATGCAGTTTTTAATGTAAGGCCCACTTCCATCTAAAGGTCATACAACTTCCATCTAAAAGAAATAAATACATAAACCATAAGCTGTCCTTATGTCCTGCCAGAGTCACAGTTCAAACGATCAATTGTAGGCAAGCAGGATACAGAACGTGATAAAGAGTTTCCCCTGCATTTTCTTCATTTTTTCTTCTCTGGTAAACAACAGGAGGTGTTGAAATCAAACACCCCATCTTTGGTACAGTTCAGACTCTACGGCCAGTAAACAAAGGCTATTTGCCCCCCCCTTCCCCTTTTTTTTTTTTTTTTTTTTTTTTTTTTTTAAATAAAACTGCTAATCTACTGATAAAACTCAACAGATTGTTGAATGAGAACATATAAAGGCTGCTGGAAAATTTGCAAAAAAGAAAGCTTCCACCAGCTATCTTGCTGGAAGGTATCTGGCGTTTCCTAATCAGAGCTGAACGGCTGCTGAGAAAGACAAACAAAAGGCATACATGGCTGTTCTTGTGACACATTGTTCACACACACACACACACACAGTCCCTCCTCTTCCTCAAGCCAAGCCGATGCCACAAGCGTTTTACAGTTAAGAAACATTTTGCCCTATGTCCAGACAAAGCACTTACTCTCATGTCCACACAACCACATGGAGAGCAGCACGTAGGAGAAGCCCGGAAGAAACTTCTGCCAGACTTCCTCACTTGCCCAAGCAGCCTCATTCTAAAAATACTCAGGGACTGATCAAAATGAGGCTGTGAAAACCACCCCAGGTACAGCTTGGTGGAGCCACTGCTCTTGATCTTGCGCCGTGATGAGTTTACCACGCACACTCGGTCACTGCAGCCAGCCTCTGCGGGATGGTTTGCAAAACTTCGCACGCATCACACAAGGCAGGTTAAAAGGAAAAAGTAGTAAGAGCAAGCAAGAGATGCACTGAGATTTTTAGCTCTGTTGCTGGCAACCAGCTGGTCTCAAATTCTTTTTTTTTTTTTTTTTTTAAATAAAACTATACGTATACATATACACACACACATATATATACACATACATATGGATACGTAAACTATCAAATTCATCCCATAACTGCATTGCTCAGAAGCTCAGTTTTTAGTAACATGGGGAAATAGATGGAGGGGTACCCACCCATGCAGCTGAGAATCAAGGAAGCATTTGAATCCATAAAAAAAGAAAGATTTTAGGAGAGAGCTAGTCTTGATTTGCACAGATGAGACGCTTTCTAACACGTTCCTCCCCCCATCCACACACAGCACACACGCACACAAAAGAAAAGTTGATGCATTTCAGTTTCTGTCCCATCACTTAAGCACAGATCCACGGCGCTGCCTTACCATTCCCGCACTCAGGCAGTGATGAGACTTTGCTCAGAGGTGCAAGGTCCGCGGCGCGCAGCCGCACCTATTCCTCCCAGCAACCTGGGCACAACACGGCCGCCTCCAGCACCCTCCTGGCTGCGTGTTTGCCGAGCCCAGCGCTGAAGTCATACGTACAGAGAGCCCCATTTCCTTTCTGTACGGCTGTGACTTATGTAAAATGCAGTTCCTGAATAGGCACACCGAAATAGAAATTGCTCGCCGCTTAAGCGACATCCTGCTCTTGTTTCAGATGCTACAGCAGGCCAGCTTATACTGCCTGGAAATATTCTAGTTTCACATCTCCCTCCTTTCCTAGGAGCTGCTCAACACGCAGCCTGCAGCACGCCCAGGTTAAATACTGATCACTGTACCGAAGAACTACTGACAGTGCTTGCTGTGGCCAAACTGTCCCATTTCAATAAAATTAGCTGAGCTATTGCTCACTGTAACAGCCTATACGATCCCAATTTACAGCTAACCCCAACTTCCTCTCCTTTGTAGTGTTCATTCACATCAAGGGCATAGGTTAGTGCTCTCTCTCTTGCCTTTTCCATCTAAAGATATTGAAAATAAAGAGCAGGATCTAATTTTAAACACTACAGCCCGTGCCTAATTTATCTCCATTTCCCAAATCTGTGCTCAGCACCTTAAGTGGTAGCTTCAAGAGCAGCACCCTCAAGCCAGAGTGCATAAAGAACAGGTCACAAAAGAGTCAGCTCTCAATCTAATAATCTAACAAGACAGGATTTCCAGCTTTCCTAATTACTCTGGCAGCTTTAAACACACTAGAATTATTCAACATCCTCCACACACGACATCCTGGCATATTCAGGCAACCCCTCCGATTCCCTATTCCCCAGTTTTTGCATCCTGGACAGCAGCACTATAACATGCAATCTCAGTACATCTCAAGCTCATTTGTCCTTTCATTGGTGGTGGATTTCATGACGTGCCAAGCTGCACATATTTACTGCCTGAGGTGAGCATGTTCTTCAAAGTCCAGAAGGTACCTAAAGCACTGCCCTTTGAAGGTGGCACTAATTACTATGAAAACAGCAGTGCCGTTTCCTTTGTTTTAGAGACACATAAAATAGATTAACAGTCAAGGTTTATATGCTGGAAGGAACCATTAGGATCATTTTGCATAAACCTCTGCATAACATAGGCATAAATTTCAACAAGTACTCATCCCTTGTGCAGAATAAGTGAATGTCACAATTTTATCACCAAAGTACATTTAAACCATCACTGCGCATTGAAGTCCTGAGGATCCTAGTTCTCCTGGTGAGCCCTTTCCATAGCCAACTACCCTTCCAGCTCTTGGAAGAAGGCCAGCTGCCATTTTCCTTTTCCAATCTCTTTCCTTTTGTAGTTTGACTCATTTTCTATTCAGTTTCAAGCTTTAAATATCTGTAATCTTTCAAACAAGAACTGTATGAAGAAACAGAAGGATGAAATAGGCACAGGTGAGCTTACAGCAAACCTGGAGTCTCATCAGTGCCTTGCGCTGTTTTTTCCTCCTTTTCATTGTTAGAGCAAAGAGGAACCAAAAAGAAGACAATTTTAACATGCTGCGTATTCTCTTCTTTCTCAAATTTGAAATACATGTACATTTTCTTTAATCAATTCAGTTTAGTCAAGAAAGTCAATAATATTGAACTGTTACAGCTTAAGACCTAGGAGGAAAAAAGGTGGTTACACACCTTTCCTGAAACTGCACTCAGCCTACCCTGGCCTCATCTACACTCATCTGGTGAAGGGACCTTCACATCTGTCCCACCAGAGGATGTCTTGGGCTGGCACATCCTGTGTCTGTGAGGGACTATATCACAACCATAACAGTGGTGGCTCTTCCATTACGGAAAAGCACATGCCCACATGCTGCCCAGGCCTAGGAGAGCAGAAACGTGTCTCACAGTCACCATATGTGCAAGATCTCCTTCCTCCTCAGGCACGTCGCCCAAGAATGCCAGAGATGTTCCACCAGCACCAGGCAAGTCCTACCATGAGTTAAAGCTGCCAGTAATGGCTGCACAGGTAACACAATCCTGCTATGGTGGTTTTAACTAGCTGTGCACGTAGGCATTCCTCCCGCTGACACACACAGGTAACAACTCCCTGGATCCTGCATCAACACGCTCAGAGAAGGCAAGCTGGAGATGAAAACAAGAGCATGCTCAAAGCAAACAAACAAAACAGCTGGCTGTGTTTGCATGGCTTGTGAAACCCACCATTGCGATCGTATCACTCCTTAGGCCACAGGGCCACGCAGGGCCTCGGTAACCAGGGAGTGGTGCTCTTTGAGTAAGGCATCCCAAGGCTCAGCTGCAGGCATCAAAGTTTTGGGAGGCAGCTGCATGTAGCACAACGCATTGCCTACAGCAATGGGGATAAGAGCAATGCCAGCACCCTCCTCAACCAGATGGCATGTTCCATAGCTCCACAAAAGATGCTGGCCATACATTCCACACATACCCTGTCCTCACTTTCCCTGTCCTCTTTCTAGCACGCAGATGCTTTCAAGATGACTCAGAATCTACTGTTAGAGTTGATGTGGCCTGGGCCTGAAACAGCCCTTCCAAGAAGAAGAAAATGCTCCACACCCACCAGGACAGATCACAATTCCTAGCACATCAAGTGGATGGCACTGCTGGGGTGTGAACCACTGACTGTCAGGGCCATCATCCTTCTGGCCTGCCTGGTGACCTTTGCTCTGCAGGGAAAAATCAGGTGCTAAAGGACTGTCAGCAGGTGAGTTGGCATTTCCTCTGTGATCACTCAACAGCATCACATCATCCCAGCTCTACTGGACCTGAGAATCTCACAAGGCAAGCACAACCCCAAGCACAGGCTGATAGAAGGCACCCAGTGGCAGCAACTGTGAAATAAGGTTCATAGGATCAGAGCTAAAGAAGATCTCAGCACCATCGCTGATTCTAAAGGCAATAAAGCTCATCTGCGTGCTCACATGTTTGTGGACCTTTTCTTTCCCCTCAAGCTTCATCAAGCACTATGTAGCATTACAGCAGAAAAACAGCACTAAGAACTAAAGCCTATTTTTCGTCTTGTCCCCTTCTCTTGAGAAAGCCAATCTGTTCACTATTTAGTCATTTTAAACCATTTGAAAATGCTTTGTTAAAAGGAAATTCAAACCAATTTAAAGTTCTCTCTGTTAGCCAGACCTTGAAAATCTGGTACGAGAGCAGGGCAATGGATGCACCAACCCTAACATTGTCACAGCCTAAAGGATGCTGCTGACCACAAACAACCCTGACTGCAGGCCCCATCAGCAAGTTCTCCAAATGCTCAACTTTTAAACCAAGGAGCTGGAGTCAAATCCACTGTGCAGTGCACAGTTTCAGGAAACAAAACTGAATTACGCAATAAAGCAAATGCAGAACACCTGCGGAATGTGGAATATCCCAGTCCCCTGTGATCAGACAGCCTAATTCATTAATTGTACAGAAAGGAATTTTTTTTTTTTTTTATTATTCCCTGGGTGCTTTTTTTTTGTTGTCTTTTTTTTTTTTTTTTAATACAACTGTGGGAGCTGAATACACACAAGTATCAGAAGTCTGCTATATTAATTACTTAGCAGAGTGACTTCCTTCCCAGATGGACAGCTTTCCTGCATACATTTTGTGGTGCCTGATGTCACCTTGCCCACAAGCCTGAATCTCAGGAGAGCTCCAGCAAAGGGAAGGCTCCCTGAAGCCAGGTGGCTCCACACATCATAAGCACATGGTAGACAACTCCAATTACTTGCTTGCAGGCAGGGAGCCCTCCCTAGGAAAGTACAGCTTCAAGTGTTAACCTTTAAAGCAAAAAAGATGTTAGAGCCAAATTGAAAACTAGGATTTCAGAGGCCCTTGCTATGAACACCAAGGAAGCTCCCCATTGCCACTTACAAGATGAGCTTGTAACCTCAGGTTTTAGGTTGCACTCAATACTAAGGATTTCTGCTGAGACAGAACAAAACTGATGTGGGAAGCAGTAGAGGGGTCCAACGTATGGACCTTGATCTCACTTGAGTATTGTGACCCAGAGCAGCCATTTACAGCCAAGAAAAACCAGGGTTTGCAAATATCTGACAGTTTTTCAGCTATGCCATCATCTCCTATACTCCTGAAAATCCACCTCAGAAAGGGGAAAAAAAAAAAAGAACAATAATCACCTGCCAGTCAACCAAGCCCTACAGAAATCATTGCGATGGCAAAAGCTTAGCAGTCACACACACGCTCACAGGGCTGTACCTGGACTGCTTTTTTGGTGGCGGCGGTGGTGGTGCAAACTCCACCCCATTGCTCTTGTCCTTAGGGAAGTCAAAGGAGAAAGACAATGACTTGCTGATCCCAGCCTGACTCTCCAGCACTGGGCAGTCTTCCACAAGGTCAGCGCCAGCCCTTCCATTCTCAGCTCCCACTGCCCATGGGTGGGTTGAGAGCTCCTGCTCTTCCTCTTCTTCCTCCTCTTCCTCTTCCTCTATCCGGCACTGCTTGGCCCATGTAGGGGTGTAGTATTTCTGCCTCCTGTCATAGGGTGAGCCTGCCAGGCTTCTGCTGGACTCTTCCACAGAAATCCCATTAACGTGAGTGCATGGAGAAGAAGATGTCCTGAAGGTACCTGTATCCGCGCAGCTCCTTGGCAGCTGAGCCCCAGCTCCATCCTGACTACTGGTGTCACCAAGCTTTGTCACAGAGGAACTGACTGGGGATACATGGCTCTCCTCACTGCCCTGCTGGCTGTTTTTGGACATCTTTGGGGGGATGGCTGGGCTCTCCATAACTGTGTTTTTGGTAGGAGCTGCCAAGTGAAACCTTGGGCCATTTTCACTTCCAGATGCTTGAAAAATCTCTCCAGGCTCGACAGCGGGTGATGAAGTCCCAAAATCAGGGTGGGAAGCAGGGCTGACACATGGCCATTGAACGCCCACAGCAGAGTCAGGGCTGCTGAGAAATATTGTCTTGTGGTCATCCTCCGTGTGCGCAGCCATAATCGTTATCTTTGCTGCCACTTGGGCTGTGGAGTCCTGGTGCTCCTTTTCAGCACCCAGCAGCCAGCTCCCATCCCTCCACGTGCCATCGGCCTGCTCCTTGCCACCGGCCAGCTTCTCTGCATCCACACATCCACCAACCCCCTTCAGCTGGGCTTTCTTCCTCTTGGTGCTCTCGGCATAGATGGGATCCCCACGGGCCGGCTCAGTGAGGCGGGCACGCTGCGGCTCCACCAAGGCCTGCTGGGGAGCGTTCAGTCCCTCAGGCCTGGAGCCTCCATCCATGTCTCTGGGGAGAAGCAAGTCATCCTTCTCCCGGCACGGCGCAGAGGCAGCCATCTTGCTGCTGCTCTCAGGGAGGGCAGCAGGGTCAGACTGACGGGTCGGCTTTTTACTCTCTGCACACAAGGTGTAGGGGAGCAGATCGCTCCGCTCCTTCGCTATGCAGAAGGCCACATTCACAGCCCTGCGCTCCTCCTCACTGAACTTCGCCGCCCTGCCACTCAGCCTGGAGAGCTCCACAGTATCCCTCTGCCTCCAGCTGCGGGGAGCCAGGCTCTCTCTGTGGGACTCTGCGATCGAACAGTACTCTCCCCCTTCCCCTTCGACACCAGAGCAGAGGCGGCCACAGTCACCCTCTGGGGGTGAAAGGTTTCTGCCAGAGCTCACAACACCTCTGTCCCCCAGATTAGGGCAGAGGGGCCGATGTGACGGGGCAGACTTCTCCTTGGCTCTTTCCTCTTGCTTGCCCACCTCGCCCACCAGCACCAAGCTGTGGATGGAGACATTCCTCTCCACGTGGCTCTCCAGGCCACGCAGGCCCACCATGGAATAGCTGGGCGTGCAGCAGGACAGGCAGTCGCGTGGTGGGCTGTGCAGGAAGGGTTTTCTCACGCCGCTGGCTCCAAACCCATCGAGGCAGATCCGCTGTGAGTCGCCTGACTTCAGAAGGAGATGTTTACCGGAAACCATTCCCCAGCCAACCTGCGCAGGCCAAAGAGACAAGCGTGCTATCAGCACAGCAAAATGAAAGAGAAAGCAACACAAGAAAAAGAACCAAAGGAAAGTTTACCACCATTCGCAGCCTGTTCTGTGCTGTGCTCACCCACTGATGTCTCCTGTGAGGCTTTCCTACTTGTGCTGCGTCCCGCACCACTTGCATTACCAACAATGGCAATGCACTGGAGAAAGGCATCCTCCTTTCTCTTTGTATGGGTTCACTGCCAGAAACATGTCCAACCTGTCATCCTGTCTGTGAGTCACCATGCAATTAAAGATTCAGAGAGGGAAGGAGTATTTGCGCTTTCCTCTGCTATTTTCGCTTCATTTCACACCGCTGCTCCAGAGCCAAATTCTCCGGAGCACAGACACTATAGACTGTCATAGATTTTCCTGTGACAGCAGCTTGGTGACACTCAGCAGGAGGGACTGGGGAGTAGAAGGAGGAACATATCTGAAATCTCTTCACCTGAGAGAGATTTACACCAATTGGGTCTCACAGCATTGCTTCCCAGAAGTGAGGGAAAAAATTCACTAAAGTTCCTCTGCCTCAAGACTGTCAGACTTAACTCAGCTCAGTTCTTAAGATGGAAAGCCAAGGAAAAAACAAGAAGATCATACTGGCTGTGTAGTACCTGCCAACCCATGGCCAGGCTGCAGCAGCCCTGTTCCTCCATATCACTAGCTATCCACGAGGCAGTCAGGCTATGGTTTCTGGGACACCAGGCTCTGCGCATGGCCTGAGAGCGGAAGATTCTGAGGCAGGAGGGGACCATTCCCACACCTCACATGTGCCTCCTACAGTGACACTCAGACACTCAGCCCAAGGATTTCTTTCCAGTAGTTTTTTTCTAGGAAAATAACTAACCCACGTGCTCATTTAAGTTCCTATGCGTGTTTTTAAGCTCCTTTGCACTCACAAGCAATGTTTAATTCCGCTTTAGCCAAAAATAATTTGGGAAACCAACACAGCTCTATAAACCTGAGTCAAGAGCAAAAGGAAAAGCAGTGAGAATGAAACGGTTTTATCAGATCCTCCTAGTGTTCCTGAGCGGAGGTAAGTAATGGGAAGTCATGCTTTGACTGGATTAATCATTACCTGTGACAGATCTGAATTCATATTCACATCCGCCCACGTGTCAGAAACATCTGAGTTGATCATAGTTGGCTTCACAGCAATGGTTGGCTTGGAGAACACAGAGGTATTTACGCCTTCGTCTTCCAACGCTGGGCTCTCGGGCTTGCTCCTACCTCCATTCGGGAGCACGCCGCATGCTCCCACGTCTGGGGGTGTTTGCAGCCGATGGGAACTCTTTGGGTTGAAGCAGTTTTTACAGGAGCCAGGCTTCCACACGTGTTCCACAAAGTCACTGCACGCAGACATCTTCAAATCCTGGAGGCTCAGAGCAAGAGCCCAACGCGTCTTCTACACTGTCCTCCGCTGTTCATTTTGCAGTTGCTTTTAAGGTCACCAAGTTATCTGGAAAGGCACAGCACTGCCTGGTTAGTTTCAGTATCCACAAAACAGAAAGAAAAAAAGAAATGGAATGATCTTTAATAGGACAGGTGATAATTACACTCATTCTGCCTTCGTCACAAAGGCTCATTGTTTACAAGGCTTTCTTCACAGCTTAGCTAAAGCCCACACAATCACTTAAAAAGCCTCAACTTCTAAGCATAACTATGCAAGAGAGAAGACATCAAACAAGCAGCATTCCTACATGATTTAATTCCCTGTTTAATGAGCATGCAGAACCAGCCTCACGCAAGGCTTAGATCAAGGGGAAGGGGAAGAGGTCTTGGAAGAGCTGCTCACAGCCTTGCAGAGCAGAGCCAGGTGGGAAAGGTTTCCTTCCCAAAGTGACATCCTCTCTCTGGAAAAAAGCATGGAGATAAAATCATAGAATCATTAAGGTTGGAAAAGGCTTCTAAGACCGTCAAGCACAACCGCCAACGCACCCCCACCATGCCCACTAACTGCCCCTCAGTGGTACGGGGACCAGAGTCGGTGACTGTAACCAAGGGGACTGACAACAACTGTCCATCCAGAAGCACCACTGTGGTTCCTGCAGCTGCACACAAAGGCTTCTCTCCCAGCCAGACGAGCAGCAGGGCTGGGGCTGGCACTGATTGCAGCAAGTGCCTGGCAGAAAGCTCGCATCCGCTCTGCCAGGAGCCACAAATAACAGTGTCAGCTTGCTGAAACGATTCATTGTCTGCAAAGGGAGAAGCGCTTTGCTCTTGGATTACTTACAGACAAGGATGCCTTCCCATCTTCCTTCCCCAGGAGGAAATGCCCCAGGAGGAAGACATTCCTGCATTCCTGTGCCCCCTCCCTGCACGGCCAGATCTGATTGCGCTCAGTCAGTAGCTATCTACAGCTAACAACTTTGGAGATACTTCAGAGATGACTCCCACAGAGCTCAGTGGATTAGAGAAGAAAAGATCAGAAAACGCAACTGGACCAGGAAAACTGCAGCTGGCTGCTGTGAGTACCCTGCCACAGAAGCACCCCGTGTCGCTCTGGGGTTCTTCCCTGCATCACCAACCTCAGGGCACCAGCTCCTAGCCAGCAAGCTGGTGCTTGCAAATCAACCAAACCAAGATTCCTCCAAGGGTCTCCAAGGGCACGTGCACTTTCCATCCCTAAACCAACAGCACCAAAGTAAATCTTACCACCTGATCCTGCCAGGCTCTCACCATGCAGACACAACACTATGGCTACAGACAACTTTGCACCTGTACACCTTCAGAACCAGATGCACTTCTGTCACACTTTGATCCTCTCTGGATACAGCACGGGCACTTGGCTCCCAGATGGAAAGGGGGGAGAGCCAGTAAGAGCTCAGGGGGGACAAAGCAAATGGGAGAAATGCTGGCCCAATAGCATCAGCTGAATCCAGTTGGCCCCCTTGTTAAGGGGGCTCCTACTGCTTAAGGTACCTGCAGGCTGGTGCTGTCAGGCAGGCTGATAAATTGACGAAAAGGAAATCAATGAGATTCACAAATCAGATAGGAGGATGTCTCACTCTTTACAGAGAAGAGACTGTTTTAGACAGGTTTTTCCGTAGATTTCACAGACTCCAATCACTTTTAGACACACACCCAACACCTCATGCTTCTACAAAATTCACATTATTTGCCAGAGAAGAACAATGACAACAAAACTCCACATCTTTTCAAACATGACCGCACTCTCACTTTGTTTCCTTTCAGATGCAGCAAGCAGCAACCAGCCCTCCATCAAGCCGGGGATTGCCTTCAGATGTGGGCTGCTCACCAAGTCAGGGGACAATGATCCAAGCGCCCCATTATTCATTTTATCCACCCGACCGAGAAAAGAAAAATTAACGTGCTACGATGCAGGGATGCTGAACGCCGGGAAGGAAGCCGGGAAGTTCGCAGCTCTAATGGCTCCTGCATCACCCGAAGGTAGTTAGCAAGTGTCCTGATGGGAGCTAGCAATGGGGGAGGGAAAAAAAAAAAAAAAAAAAAAAAGCAAAAAAAAAAAAAAGCACCACACAAAGGAAAGGCAGGGAGCGGAGTCGGGGAAAACCCCTCATTCCCGGCCCACAGCCGGCGGTGCGCCGCTCAGCCCGGGATCCCCTTCCCGCAGCCGAAGCAACGTTCCCAGTCGGGCAGCAGGAGTCCGGCGCGGCTCGGATGCGCCCCACAGGGTTTCATCGGAGCGAGGATGCTCCGGCCACGAGGCACCCCCAGGCGCCGACCTGCCCGAAGTTTCCCGAGAGGACGCTTCGCCCCCACCCCCCAGACTCCATTGAGGTCTCCCCGAGCCCGGCTTTGTCCCGGCGCTGCCCGCCCCCGGCCCCGCCGCGCTCACCGCGCTCCGCTCCGCACTGCCGCCGCCGGGCGACTGCGAGCGCTGCTCCGCGTGGGCCGGGGGTAGCGGCCGCCCCGCCCCGATCCGCCCCACCTCACCCTACCCCACCCCGCCGGGAGGCAGCGGGAGCGGAGCTCCGCAGCCCACCGCCGCCTCCGTGCTGTGCGGTTGTGAGCGTTTCAGCAATTCGGGATCTGAGGAGTAGGGCTGCAGGGAAAGGAAAAGCCTCCCCGCACAGCTCGGGGCTCTCCATGCTCTGCTTTTTCCAGATCCACATGTGATCGGTTACTAAAACAGCCCAGAAACACCACATTAAGAGAATCGCAGGAAAACACGGGATTCCTCCGCTTCACTTGCCACATTGCTATAAAGAAGTCTGCCCAACACACCTCCCACTTCGCCTTTCAAGCAAAGCACTCATTTGCTCACCACCAATTCACTGCATCTCTTTGCAGTGCCAGTGCACTCACTCAGATGAGTGCATTCACTCTCAGAAACACATTAATCATGACTGAAACCTTCTTTCTAGCCATGTTTCAACTGTGCAAAGGGAAAGTCACCCTGGAAAGTCATCAGCACCACCTGGGTTACACGCCTGAGGACACAGGTGCCTCAATCACAAAGGTTTTCAACTGGACCCTTGTCGCAAGTCAATGGAGCTGGAGCATTCCAGAGCTGTCAGGAGCCTGTGTGCTCACTGCCAGTTTCCCTGGCAGCTCCCCGGGTCTGGCTGGCCCATCCATCCACAGCTGGAGATTGCCATAGAAAATGATAGAGTCCCCATCTCTGGGGTAGACTGTCCTGAGATGTCCACCCCAGGTGGAAAATCCTTTCCCATGCCAAAGGCTTTGGGGTTACAGATTAGTGAAAATTCATTTGTTCCAGTGAAGTCATAGATTCATTAAGGTTGGAAAAGACCTCTAGGTTCACCAAGTCCCCACCATGCCCACTGACCACATCCCTCAGTGCCACATCTCCACGGTTCATCATCACCTCCAGGAATGGTAACACCACCACCTCCCTGGGCAGCCTGTGCTACTGCATCACCTCTTTTCCAGAAGAAGCGTTCCCTAATATCCAATTTGAATCTCCCTGAGGGCAACTTGAGGCCATTCTTTCTCATTCTAAAGTCATTTTCTTCTTATGTCCAAAGACAAGGAAAACTGCACCCTCACATTTTCAGAAAACTATTGTTGTTCAAGGACTGAAATCAACGATGACAGCTTTTTGGGTGGCTGTAATCTCCCATGATTTTTTTCAGTACAGCGTTCAGTGTTGTTCATGATGGCATTTTATCAATGGCCAAGAATTGCAATATTGAGGCACGTATACTTGGAACTGGCCTTTCTGTGCACCCTGTACCTTCTCCCACTCCATTTTTTCTGTTTGCCATGCCCCTTTTTGCAAGCTCCCACGCAGCATTTCTCCTCTCCCTTTCTTGCAGAGGTGTGTGGGCTGACCCACTCCCAAGGTTTCTCCTTGGCCCTATGGATGTTCCATCTCGTAGGAAGAATGTACCCTGGGACCAGGATACGTAGGTACCAGGATCCAAAAAAGTCCTAAAATCCGAACCCCTATAAAAACAATCAGCCTTATTAGCCAAACCCTAATGTAGTCTCAGAACCACCCACCATGGGAATTAATCACTGACCACATCTGGAGGTTCACAGTGTAGACAGGGACCATCTACCTTATAGAATCTCAACCACTAACAAAATCCCATGCAGAACCGACAGCCCCGTGCCCATTCACGACTGGCACAGTGATGCCTTTGCTTGGGGGGCTGCAGCAAAGGGGGGCTGTTTTCTCCCTGCCGAAGAGCAACAGTGGCTGCTAAGAAATCACAGATAATGGCCCTTTTGATGGATGCTCAGCTTGTGCTTTTGGGATGCAGCAGTCGTGGAGGGGCTGGGAAGGGGGAGGCAGTGCAGAGGCGTATGACAGTGCTGATAACAAGTGGGCTTTGTGTGTTGTGCTCAGGGCACCCGCAGCTGCCCCGGCCTCCTCTCCCACCCGAGGTAGAAGAAGAGCACTTCATCTGCAAACAGCCAAGCCACCAACCGGCTGTGTCCTCCATGCCACTCACAGCTGCTGTTAAAGTGGGTGACAATGGGAGCACCGGTTCCCCCAACCTAGTTAAACTCCACTTCCACAGGAGAGGGAAGGATGAACCACACTGGGGAGCAAGAGCAGGCGTGCATGCAGGTGCTGAAAGCTGGCAGCCAAACAAAGGGAGATCCTGGGGGCAGATACGGGTGCGTGCAGGCTGAGGTGTTCAGCAGCACGGCTGTCTGGGAGCAAGAGCAAAGGCGAACATATAGGGGGTAAAGGAGCCAAATTGTACTTGATGGGAAGAAGAAGCACCAGCGATGAGGCACAGCTGCTTTGTTTAACCCCAGGATCCCACAGTTGGGGAATAATGGGTCCAGCAAAGCTGGTGAATTGCCCTTGATCGTCCTCAGGCCATATGCTGGGCACCTCCCGAGCAGTTTATTGGGCAGCCAACCCACCAGGCTCTTCCCAGGCCCATCACAGAGCTGCCTCATCCCCCATGCTCTGAACTTTGGGCAGTGCTGTGTGGAGTCGGCAGTTGGACTTGATGGTCCTTGTGGCTCCCTTACAACTTGGGATATTCTATGATTCTGTGATGATCCCAGCGATACTCAAAGAGCATTACTAGGTCTGGAGAGCCATTGCCATGGAAGGAACGGACACGGGGTGCTGCAGGAGAGCAGTTTCCTGTCTCTCTCCAATACGACTTGTTTTTTCTCTTGCTCCCCAGTGGTGTTTGGTGTTCACAGGCACTGGGAAACATTCACTTCTTGCACGCCTTCCAATGGAGCGTGGGAAAAGCTCTCACCCGAAGCAAAAAAACACGGGAATTTGCTTTCAAGTCTATTCTTCTCACTCCCTTTCTCTCCCAGTGAAAAGCCCTGAGCTGGCTTTTTTCTTTGCAAGGCAAGTTTTCTGGCCAAGGCAAACCACTGTTTGTCTCTCATGCTGTCAGCAGGGTGACAGGCGTCGACGCAGGCTGTGTGCACCTTCCTCTCCTTTGAAATGAAGGAAATGGCACAATTCAGCTTCAGTGAGAAGAAATCAGGGGATGCATGGAGCCATTGGTGCTCATGCAGGTAAAGAAGCAACCAGAGGCTCCCAGTACAGTTTTTTCTGTGTGAACCTCCTTCCATGAGAGGTGCCTTAGGTGAGCAGCTGCAGAGACGGCCAGATGGAGCTGGTGGAGGTGTTTGCTTTCTCTGCCTTCCCCCGCACGCCCTCTTAATTGTTTGCACGTCAAGAAGTGACTTGCCGTATTGCAGCCTCCTAAAGGGAGGCTGATGTTCAACTCCTAACCCGAAACTGCCTCTCAGGGAGGCAGCAGCACCCACCTCCCTCTGTTCTCACATCCCCTCCCCACTGAGCGGCATCTCGCCCTCCCTTCACTGCGCACTGTGTTAATGAGCGCAGAGAAAAACAGCGCAGAGCTGCCATTCAGGGCCTCTCTCAGACACCAAAGCATCTCCGTGCATTAATAATCCCTTTCAAAAGCCCCTTCCCTGCATGCATTCCCCCCTCTCTCACCCTTTTCAGGAGCAACTGTGATTCATCTGAGGTGTGAAACAGCACGGTAAAATTTTAATGCAGCCTGAACATGAGATGTGAGAGAGCTCAAATGCCTTTTAAGCAGCCTGTCTGTCTCCAGCAACTGCTTTGAAGGCAAGATCACTTCAGCACCACTCAAAAAGCTTCAAAGAGAATATTTGGGACTGATTTTGACGTGACTAGGGGATGGCAGCAAGCCTACAAACACACTTCCCCCAAAAGATGAGCAGCAGCCTGAGGTGATCCATGGCATGCGCTATGTATGGCCTGAGCTATGGGGGTTGGCACCTATCGGATTCCCACAGAGTGCTGTGACCCGTGGCCAGAGCCCTGGTTACATTGCATGCCAGCGATGTGCCCCCAGCCATGGGCTGGAAAAGCAGGGGAGAGTTCCTGGTGCCCAGGGTGCCTGCACTGATAGGAGAAGTATGAAAATAAGGCAGAACACTGGGGTTAGCCCAAACAGAAAGAGACGCTGATAGCACGCAAGGACTGATTCCTCTATGGCCAGGATGGGTAAACAAAAGAGGGATGAAAAACAACATCCCCAAAAGTGGGGCTAGGAGATGAATGAACAGGATGAAGCTGAAGGATCCGAAGAGGCACTATGCTCTCCCTATTAGCTCCGCTAACAAAAGTCCCCCAACCAATTGGAGCTGCTTTTCATCATCACGTGTGGTTCACTGGCTCCCTAGGGCTGTATGGACCCATAACAACACAGCATTGCCCTCACACAGGGAAATGCCTCAAGGTCATAGAATTGTAGAATCATTAAAAAAAGATCTATAACATCATCCAGACCAAAATCCAGCCCATCCCCACCATGCCCACTAACCACACCCCTCAGTGCCACTGTTCTTGAACACCTCCAAACATGGTGATGACACCACTTCCCTGGGCAGCCTGTAACATGGATCCTTCAAACCCATCTTGGGAATGTCAAAGCCAAAGCATGGAGCTGAGTCCCTCATCTCTAGGCATCCCATGCATGATAGCTGCTGGTCCTGGGGCT